CTCACGCTCTGAGGACTGTGCTGTCATCACAGCTCACTCACGCAGCCATGTGTCAACCAACAAGGATCTTTCTGAGGCTACTATGTACCAGGTTTTGTGCTAAAAGTTTTGGGGGTAGAGAAATAAGCAGAAATTTAACTCCTTCCCCTTGAAAAAAAAATGGAGCCAAGTGTGGCAGGAGATATAAGACCCAGTTGGAGCTGCACAAACCTCCCTTCTCAGTGCTGGGAGGGGCTCGGACACCAGAGAGCGCGGCAGGCAGATCCCGGAGGACTTCCTGAGGCAGCGTGAGGCTGAGGCGTCGGCCAGCAGCGCTGCTGGCGCAGGGTATGGGGCATGCGAGGCCCTGGGGTGACTCTCAGCCTAAAGGAGGCTGTGTGGCTGGGGGCCTGGGTGAGGGCTGAGGGCGGTGGGCACAGCAGCCAGCGGGCAGGGCCCGAGGCCTGGGAGGGAGCTGGTCCTCGGCCAGGGGGCGGGCGGGTGGGAAGGTCTCCCCAGTGAGCAGGGCTCAGGGAAGGGCAGTTCCGCTCTTGAGACTTTTTGCTCTCAGCTCCTTGCATCCGGTTCAGGGGGCTGGTCCACAGGCCTGGAGGCGGGGCCGTGTCCTGCCCTGGGGTCGCAGAGGGAGGGGGTCGTCAGCTGGAGTACCCAGCCGCCAGCTGCCAGGACCCTCACCCCAGCCTTTGGGCCGGATGGAGAGCAGCAGATGAGCACACTGGGTGTGGTGTGTGCACTAGAGGAAGTGCACAGGGGCTGGGGGACGACCAGAGCTGCGCCTGCAGGGAGGGGATGCCTGGAGGGGTGGGCGGGGAGGACCCACACAGTCCCACAGCGGGGACCAAGACAGGCAGGTCCCAGCACGGGTCTGATCCTGTGTGGGTGGGGTGGCCGCAGAGGGGCTGCTGGCACGGGAACACCCCGACAGGAGGGAGAGGGGTGTAGCCCACGGGAGGCCGCGGCGGCTGAGACCAGGGGAGGCGGCCTTGAAGGGACCTGTAGGCGAGCTCACAGCCAGCATAAAGGCCCTGCGGCCTGTAGGAAGCAGCTCAGCACAGCCCGAGGGCAAGGCTGCCAGAGAGGCGCAAACGTGAGGCTGGGATTTTCTGAAGTCCCCCCAGCTCACCCCCGAGGCAGGGTCCCAGGGCCCCTCGTCATTTTCAGGCTGAAAGGATTCAACTGGAGGTGCCTCCTCTGGGAATGAGGCGCCTTGAGTCACAGCGCCTGGTGGAGGGTTCACTCCAGGACACGCTGTCTTCTGAGTTCCGGCTTCCTGTGTGGCAGGGACGGGGTGGGGGGGTCTGGCCCAGGGCCACCCCTCCCCAGGCCAGCGCATTGTCCGCCCTGTGGCCGGAAGCGGCTCCTGCCCAGGGCAGGCGGGGGCTTGGGGACTGCGAACCTGGCTCCGCGTCTGCGCAGAGGCCGCCCTGGCCCCCATCACCCTCTGCTCACTGGCCTGGATGGCGGGGCTGGGGGAGGGCAACCCACCCCGGCTCCCACCCAGGGCCGCCTCCAACTAAAGTGAGGGGGCTGGACGTGGCTGGCGGGCGGGGGGCCCTGCCTCCAGCACGGCCCCCCAGGCTGGTGCCCCTTCCCTGTCCCTGCATCCCCCCAACTGTCCCCGCGACCATCTAGTCACCCAGCTGGGGGGTGGCCACCCCATTACTGGCCCGGACTGCAGATGGTCACCTCTCGGCCAAGGCAAAGGGGAGAAAGCCAGAGGGGAGAAAAGCCAAGACCTAATTTACAAGTGAAACGACTCCAGGGGTGGCCTCGGCCTCCTCCCCCAAAGGAAAAGAATCCTGCTGCTCGGTTCCCACCAAGGCCCTACAGCCGCAGAGGCTTCAGTTTCTGGCCCCAAGGGAACTGGACCTTAGACTCCAGGCACAGGGATTGGTGGCTGGGCCGGTGCAGAAGTCAATCCTGGGAAGCCACAGTGTCCCCTGGACCCCATGGCGCCCACCCTGGGCTGGGGTTTCAGGGGCCGAGACACCCCGCCTGGCTGGGCATCCTTGAGGAAAGATGGCTACGTCCGGCGGGCAAGACGGAATCCACTTGTTCATAGTCGAATTCGTATCTAATGCTCTGGCTCTAGCAGACCCGTGATCTTGGTCAACAGGGTAACCTAAGTCCCCTCAGAGCGCTCTTTCTCCAGTGGCATCTCTCTCCTTCAACGTCACCGTCGGCAGCGCCCAGCCTCGGACGCCCTCTGTCCAGGCAGGCAGCCTCCGGGGTCCTCCTTCCAGCCAGGTCCCCCGGGCCACCCATGCCTCAATTGCTGCACATCCCTCTTGGGGCATCTGGAAGAGTGGACGTGCTCTCGTGGCCACTGCAGGACCACCCCACCTCACCTTCACCAAAGCCGGGAGCAGCACGTGGCTCCGCCCCCTGCGATCTCAGGGCAGCGGGCACAGGCCAGGCTCGCCAAACCCTCAGAGCCCAGCCCGGCCCTGTCCTGAGGGTCTGCAACCCCCTTAGGCCCAACCCCCCTGGAGGCCCGCCGCCGCGCCAGGTCAGGGTCACTGGCTCATCATCTCCCCAGAGCCATTGTTTGGGATGTGAACTCACGTTGGCTGGGGTTCCGGCTTCTAGAAGCTCCTTTTCTTGTTTTTCTTTCAAAAATGTGGTCTCAGCCATGCTTTTAAAAGTCTATTTTAGTGTCAAAAGCTGGACAGAATCCATTGTCCTTCCCTGAGAGATCTCCCTTCTCTCTGCCGCTGCCTGGAACGGTATGGGGGGTTGGAGTGCCAAAGCTGGGGAGAAACACCCCTCCACCAGGCAAGTAGGGCCAGGCTCATTTGTCAGAGAAGTCTTCAGGTCCGAGTGAATGATCAGGTCAGAGCTGTGCTCTGAGTGAGCATCTGAGAGCCCGGCACACGCTCCTCCCATAACCTTCCGTGGCTCCCCGTTGCTCTCCAAGCCTCCCACCTGCTCCCTCCTCCCCAGGCACCCGGGATCCCTGCCTCTGCTGACGCAGGCCCCAGAGCCCCGTCAACACAAGTTCACAGGGCCAGCTTCAAACGACCTTCTCAGCTCCTTGGCTCCAGAAGGGCCATGGACCCACCTGTCCTGCCCGCTGCTCGTGGCCTCCTTCCCACCTGTTCTCCCCTGCACCACCTTCTCTTGACTGACCCTATTCAGCTTCAGCTCTCACCTGTGAGGCCCCCTCCTCCAGGCAGCCTCTCTGGATAGCCCTCCGCCTCGCCCCTCCCCGCCCCTCACCACCAGGCTCTCACGGCCCCGGGACTTTTTCCATCACCCCCGCCTCTTGGCTAGACTGAGTTCCTTGGGACAGAGGCCTGGGATGCCATCTGCAGGACATTCTCTCCAAAGAGAAGGGACAGCTCAGGGGTGTCCTTCCTGCCTCCTGTACTCAGGAGCCTGGGGGCCAGGCTGGGTGGAGGGGCGGCCTTGACACCGCCGTGAGACCGGGAGCAAGGATTTGAGCCCAAGCGGAGGGCGTGAACGTCCCGTGCCTGGCTGGCATCTTTCCCGAGGGCAGAATTCCATGTCATTCGGGGGTGGGGGCTGAGGAGCCTGAAGGAAGGAGTCAGGGTCACCTCGCCCAGAAGGGATTTGGGGGTACAACCAAGATGCCACAGGACGTGGGATGAAAAGTAGAGGTAAAAGATGAAAGGAAAGCACGGGCAAGAAGGTAGGTCTAAGTGGAGCCAGAGGTGAGCTCCCAGCTTTTGTTCGAATCTTCCCAGCAGCCAAGGCAAAAAGGGAAAGTGGTGGTTTCCACAAGCGATTCCTCTGTGGTTAGGGTCGGAAGGTGTCAGGTCTCGACCCAAGTCGGGCTGCCAGGCACAGGGGCCCCACCTGCCAGGCCCACAGCACACACCCATCACTGCCACTCGCTTCGACCTGACAACAGCCCAGCCCAGTGCCTGTCACTTCTCCCATTGTACAAGTAAGGAGACGAAGGAAAGGTGCAAGCGGTCTTCGTGATCTGGTGGGTCTGTGTGTCCTCGGGGTGCAATCCCTCAGCTTTGTGTGGTGATTTCACTCCACAGCCTGGTGTGCTCTCTCCTCCTTGACTGACCCCGTGACCCTGTGATGGGAACACTGAACCCTGGGCATGTCGTGTTCACCCCGACCTCCCAGCCAGGTGCCACTGGATGCTGGGTCTGTGCTGGAGGACTTGCCTCTGCCTGTCTCCTGGGCACTGTCACGTCTGTTCTCCCCCTTCCCCAGCCACTGCCCAGGCCACGGCCCTCTCCCTGCCTCTCTGCAGACCAGCAGGGGGCCAGCCCATGAAGGTCAGGAGGTGTCATTCGGAGTAAAGAGAGCGAAGGTGGTGGTTCAGCACTGTCCAGAGAGACTGCACAGAGAAGCCGGGGCCCACCTGTGTCGTGATGTTTGTCCCTGTTGCTGGGTTAGCTGCTAACAGATCAGCCCGAAAGACAGAGGCTTGTCATGGCCGTTTTATTACCCTCATGGACTCCCTGGGTCCAGAATTTGAACCGAGTGCAGCAGGAGCACCTCACCTCTGCTGCACCAGGTCGGGGCCCTCGCTGGAGGTGGCTCAGGGTCCAGGGGCTGGAGTCACTGCAGGAGCCTCGCTCCCACGTCGGGCAGTACCGGCTGTCAGCTGTGACCCCTCAACGTGGCTGCACCTCACCCGGCTGGGTTCCTAGAGCCAGTGCCCGAGAAGGCCGGGTGGCGGTGCCGGCTGCCACAGCCCAGCCCCCGAGCCCACCCAGCGCCCTTCCACACCTTCTACTCACCCAGGCAACCCAGGGCGAGGGAAATTAGATGCCGCCCCTGGACGGCGGCATCAGTAAGGTTCTAAAGAAAGGCCACAGAGTTCCATCTTTTTGTTTGGCTCCAGGCGGGGCTTCTCTGCGTTTCTGGAGCAAGAAAGTACGGTGGCTGCTTCCACCCCTACACCTGACGAGGAACTTTCTATAGCCACAGTCTCCCTTCTTCGGGGGCTTTGCTGCCCCCTTTCCCTTTGCATCTGCAGACCCACTCTCCGCCAGCTCCAGCCGCCCGGAGGCTGACCTGGATGGAGGGACGCACGTACAGGCTTCCTGAGCGCTGACGTCCACTTGGGCTCAGCCCGTAGGCGGCACTGGCAGGAGGACGGGGGCCTCTACCAAAGGCCGGCTCCAGGCTGGGGGCCCAAGCCCACCTCCGACCCTCCGCCACCAGCTCCAGAGAACTGCTCATCCCCGGCAGCTCGTCCTCAGCTCTGCACACGGCCATGTTCCTTCATGAAATGCTCCTCAAATGCCCCAAAACGAGGGTGCTCTCCACTTCCTTTAGCAGGGCCCTTGCCCCGCAGCAACCTTGGGGAGAGAAGATGTGCACTCCTGTTCGGAGAGGGTGGTCCCTGGGTCCCACCGCCTCCACGTGGCTCGGGCCGAGGCCCGGGCCTCCACTCCTCGGCTTTGCCCACCAGCCTCCTGCAGAGACCTCCTGCTTTGAGCAGGTCACTGCCCGGTGGTGGGGGCAGGGCTGGGTATTTTAACTCCAGAAAGACCAGGCCCCAGAGGGGGAGCAGACGCCAACGCAGACAGCTGAACAAACAGCCCCGGTCGTGTTTCCAAGGCCCTTGCAGCCTGGCTGCCCCGCGCCGGAGGCCACTGGAGGCCAAGAGTGGGGCTGCGTCCCTCGGTGGACATGGCGGCAGCCCCCTGCCCCCGTTTCCCAGCTCCTGGGTCCCACACCCTCTGTCTGGTGCTCAGTGGGAGGGGGTTCAGACCCTGCCTCCCAGACCTGGCTTTGCTTTCACCCCGGGACCTTCCAGACGTTCCTTCTGCTCCCTGGCCTCGATGTCTCCATCTGACTGAAATGCCCCCCAGTGTCGTGGGACAAACAAGGTAGTGGGTGTCAAAAGCCACGGGAACTGGCGTGCAGGGTGGGGAAGCCTTGAGGGGTGCAGTGAGGTCTCCCCAAGGGTGGGGAGCCCGGGCTGGGCCACCTGGAAGTTTAAGAAAACGGCCCAGGTGGTGGACGAATGGAGGTGGAGGGGAAAGGTGCGGGGGTAGAGCCAGCGGAGGCGGGGCAGGGCTGGGCCAATAGTGCAGCTGAGCCGGGGTGGGAGGGGGCGGGCTCAGTGGGAGGCGGACGGAGCTGGGATTTGCAGGATGGGGTGGGAGGAACCCACGCCACCCTGTTCCGGCTGGACCAGGCCCGCGGGGCAGCAGGGCCCTTACTATCCTCTTTCCACACATCCCTGGAACCCAGGGGCCCCGCTTCCGGAGCCCAAGGGGCTACATCGCGAGAACACACCCTTGAGGTGTCTGGCCATCACCTTGGGGAGATTAGTTTCGATTTAACCCCAAAACAATAACGTCTCAGCTTTCCTAATTGCATCCAGCTGTGCAGGGCCTCACGCAGGCCTCACGCAGCCCCTGCCCCCCTTCAACAGCCCCGGCCTGGCCCCGAGACGGAGACTCCAGGACACAGGGGTGATGGGGGCCAGGTACCTCCGGTCTGCCCAGGCCCTGTGGAGGCAGCGCTCACCTCGGCCTCCCCCACAGGGGCGTCGTGGCCATTGCCACGGGGACGAATGGATGGCTTTTCCAGCTAGGGCCACTCACGGCACAAACTCAGACCTCCTAGAACCTGCCTGCCTAGCACTGACCTCGCCCTGCACCCCCCCCCCGCCTCCTGCACCCCCGACCCCAGCCCCTCTGCCTGTGATGTGATGCTGCACACCTCTTCAGGGCCAGGCGGGTCCCTCCCCGCCCTCCTTACCAAACCCCACGTCCCAGGGAATGAGTCACTCCCTCCTGCCCCAGGCTGCCCGGATGGTGACATCAGCCAAGTTTCTGCCTCTAGACTTGGAGACCCCGAGAGCAGGGCCGCCTCTGCTTCCCCCCAAATCCCTGGCTTTGACCCATCACATCAACAGCGCTACCTAGGATCCATTCAGCGTTTCTCTTGCACCAGGTGCTATAGCATCTTCTGTGTGTTTGTTCACTGTGCTTTGTGAAGCGGCACAGAGAGGTTGAGTGAGCTGCCCAGTGACACACAGCCAGATAGGCAGGGACCTGGAAGGAGCTGGGCAGACTGGCTCGAACACCTTGCATCCTACCTGAGGACCCCCGGGTGAACTGCCACAGGACCAGTGGCTGGGCACACGGGCAGGCCCTGGGCGTGTTTTTGGCACGACTACCTCGGGCCTTGTTACCTCTGCTTGGCCTGAAGGCGTAGGTCATGGGACAGCAAGATGGTGTCCCCTGGATTATGTAAGCATTCTCCCCACCTCCCGTCAGTCATTCCATAAGGGTCCCCGGGGACTGCCCGGGGACGAGCAGGAGACAGGGTATGCCCACGGCTTCCCCTCGCTGCCCCCCTGGGGCCCAGCCAAGCCTCACGCCCGCCCGTCACCAGTCACACAGGCACAGTGGTGCCCCTCCCTGTCTCCTTTCCTGTGGGAAACTCGGGGAGACAGGGGTGGAGGGACTTGGGAGACCCCACCTGTCCTCTGTCCCTGCTGTTCTCCCGGGACTCAGTGCCACAGATGTGGGACCAGTGATGGGGACCCCTGGATTCTGGCTCTGATCCCACTCCAACTCTGTGTCTGGCCCATCCTGGGCCTAGTCAAGCCCTTCCTCTCTCTGGGCCTCAGTTTCCCCACCAGCAAAAGTTGACACTCGGGTTCAGCGGATCCTAAAGCCATGTGGCCCTGCTGGGTTCCTGTCTCATGCCTGGCCTGGCACCAGCACTGTGCCCACTGTGATGGGTGTCCAGGCAGGCGCCAGGGAACGGGGGTTGGGGTGGAGGCTAGCCGAAGAGCCTGACGGTGCTTTCTGCGGGCAGGGAGGCGAAGGCAGTCAGACCTTAGGGAGCAGAGAGGGCACCCAGGTGAGCAAGCACCTGCAGAGAGGAGTGGCCAGCATGTCCTTAGCTACTGACCCGCCAGCCTTCCCACCCCCATCCCGAGGATGCTGTCGGGAACGTGGGTCCTCAGGCAGCCCGCCGCTGTGGCCACCACGTGGCCCTAGGCAGGTTGCTGGACCTCTGAGCGCATCTCCCTCCCCTGTGAAAGCCCTCGGTGACCGGTAAGGACGAGGGGAGGGGCGTGCAGCCTTGGCGCAGAGCTAACACGTGGTGGGGACTCAGCCAGTGCAGAGCCTGGTCCTGGAGGCCAGAAGCCAGAGAGGGTAGTGATGGCTCTGGGGACTCCAGGTGTGGGCCTGGGTCCCGACTCCCCTCTGTCCCAGGACGGTGGCACCGCCCCACTCCTGCCCCTACACCCAGGGCCCCGGGACGCCGTCCCAGACACGCGCCTTCCTGTTCCCATGAACTGGGCCCTTCTCTTCCTCAGTTGGGTGGCCGTCCGCCCCTACAGAAGAGGGAGCCCCGGGCTCCCTCACTCCTCCTCCCCTTCCACAGCCTCAAGCCCCGGTGGCTGCTGACTGGGGCAGTTTTCCACCCTGAGGCGTCTGATGACGAACTCCACCAGCCACCTGACAAATCACCTCCCTGCAGGGTCTGCCCGGCTGCCCACCGAGCCCCTGAACCTTGGATTCCCTATCTGTAAAGGGGTAACGCCGTCTATGGGAAGACAGGGAGATTCAGTGAAATAAGCCAGGTGGTGCTCTTAGCCAGAGCTGCTAGTGAGGGCATCTGTGTCCCCGTGGGTGCACACATCTGTGGGTGTCTCTGCGTGTGAGGGCGCCCGGCCCGGCGGTGCCCGGGGTTTGGGGATTGGGCCGCCATGTGTCACTTCAGCCACCAGGGGGCAGCAGAGGGGAGCAGTTCTGCTCCGGGAGCCGGAGTCTGGCCCTCCTGGAGCCTGTGCTTCGGGCAGGGAGAGCGGGAGGGAGGCGAGGAGGCCCAGCGGGGTCACTCGGGGCCAGCAGAGGAGTCTGGGCTCGGATCCCGGCCCGGCCGTTTACTCCCGCACCCGGGCCCTCCTCTGTGCGCGGGGTGCTACCCGGCGGTGGCTGGATCTCTTCCAACGTGGAAATGCGAGGCGAGGCCCAGAGAGAGGCTTCCCACCCCACACAGCTGCGGTCCTGGGCCTGAGCTTTCAGGCCTGGGGGGCCCCTGACCCCACGCCTCCGGGCTGCAGATGGAGAGCAGGGCCTTGGCCAACGTCACACAACGAATTCGAGGCAGAGACGGGACTGGCCAGGCCTGCAGAGGCCGAGGCCTGCCCTGCTCGCTCTGCCCACCGCCAGTCCCAAAGGCCACCAAGAGCAGGGATCCTGCTGCACCTCCAGCTGGGCCCACCCTCGGGGTGGGGGTGACCCTCCTCTGGCTGCCAGGCCCCAGGGAGGGCCCGATGAGGCCTCCATGGACCCTGTTCCCCCAGCCCTCATGGGGCAGTTTCAAAGCTCAGTGTCCCTTCCTCCCCCCTGGGAGGCCCGGGGGCTGTTGGGTCACGCTGGCTCCTGTGGCCTCCGTGGGGGAGGGAGGTGAGTCACCCCTTGGGACACTTCCCTGCTCAGTTCCCAAGTCTCCTGGGCAGGTCCCACCTGCAGAGGAGCCTGGACCAGAGCCCCAGGAAGGGAGCGGTGCCAGGCTTGACAGGGAAACGGGGCCTGGCTTCGCATGGGCCAGGGGAGGTCTGACGGGGGCGTGGGCGAAGGCCCTGGCCGCCCTCCGCGTGCGCCAGCTCAGCATTTCCTCCGGGCCCCGGCACAGGAAGGCGGGCGGCCTCGAGCTCTCTGCTCTGTAGCCGGAAAGGACTCATGTTCCAGGAACCTGCAGCTTGGCAGGTTGGAGCCGGCATGTCGGGCAGCTCCCGAGGCGACGGTGCTGCGAGGCCGCCCTTGCGGCCCAGAGTGCGTCCACTCCCCCTCGGCCCGGGCCTCGGTGCCCTGCGGGCGCTGCTGTGATCACAGGCCGGGCTCCGGGCTCAGTGCGGGGCCGCGGCCGAGGTTGGGGGCCGGGGGGCCGCGCCATCGAGGCCAGGAGACGAGTCAACATCCGGGGTCCCCTGGGCTGCCCCAGAGCGAGGCCGCCAAGCGTCCCAGCCCGGCGTCCTCTCCCCGATTGGCCCCGTGGCCCCCGTCTGGCAGCATTGGGCAGGCAGGCCTGGAGGCCGCGAGCAGCCATCTTCCAGGCGAACTGGGGCCCGGCCAGCAGCGTTTCCCTGCGGCCTCCTCCCTCGCTCTGAGCGGCATGACCTCATCGGGAAGCCATTCCGGAAAGGAGCTGCAGAGCCCCTGGGAGTGGGAGTGGAGAGGAGCTTTCCAAGGGCCCTCCTGGCAGCCTCTCGTGCCAGACCAGGGCAGGCATCACGCCTCTGGGTGTCTGCCTGCCGGGCAACCACTGGGAGGGCAGCTGGCTTTTGTCAGCTTTTCGGGGTGACCGGGCCAGTCTGAAGCAGGCAGGCAGCAAAGCACTGGCCCCGGCCGGCTGGCTACCCAGTGGGCAGAGCCGGAACTGGATGCCTGGACGGGAGGGGAAGCCGGGCCCAAGCTAATGGCAGAAGCTGAGCCCGCCCCCATTCCGGGCCTTGGTTTCCCCTCAGTCCAGCACCCCTCCCCCTGAGATCTTACCCTCCCCCTCCTGTGGCCCCGAGGAGCCCTGGACATGAGTGAGCACATGACCGTGCTCCCTGCTGCCTCCTGATCTAAACCAGAGGCCCGGCTGCCTGCAGCTGGCTCTGAATCAGTCTTTCTGGGCCATGTGGTCAGGGCTGAGAGGGGTGGGAGCCGCAGGGGCAGCTGGGGTGCTGGGGAAAGAGGAGGAACTTCCCGCCCTGTCTGAGGTGGGTGCCGAGGGCTGAGGGTGTGGGGCAGACAAGAGGAGCTCCGAACTCTGGTCCCAGCCCTTCCACCCAACTTGGAGTCCAGAGAAACCTCTCAGACCCTCACTGTTCTCATCTGCAAAATGGGGCTAACAGTGCCCTCCCACCCACCCCAGAGAATGCTTGGAAGGACTCTTGAAACCACATAAAACAGGGAGTAGAGGCACAGGCAGACAGGCTCTTGTGGGGGGACGTGTGGGCAATCACCAGCACCAGCTCCTTCTGGGCCACTTGCCAGTCTTCACACTGCTGGGGCCAGAAGGGTCCTCCTAAGACACAGGTCTGTTTGGTGCACGTCCCCACTAAAAGCTCCTTGCCCCAGGGTAAGTGAAACTGTCCTCCAGCCACACCTGACTGTGCATGTGCCCAAGCTCACCACACCTTCTTTCAAATTCTGTCTGGAGAACTCCTACTCATCCTGCAAAACTCCAGGTGAGATGCCCCCTCCTCTGAAATGTCTCACAGGGTTGCTCTGAGAGCCAAAAAAGAACATATATGTGTGACCACGTGGGCAACGTAAGGGGTATCACGCTCACGGCTGTCCTTGTTATTCATCAGAAAGAGGTCAGAACCAAAGAAACATGTGTGAGCCGGAAGTGCAACTGGGGATGGGAGTTAGCAGGAAGGTTTTCTGGCTTGGGATGTAAGCCCAGCCTTGGCAGATGGTAGATTTTCAAAGACGAGAGGAAGAAATTGGAAGCTAGGAAGAGGCAGTAGTGCAGCAGTTTTCAATATGGCTGCCGATTCCTTGGTTCTCCTCTCATTGAGAGGTGGGGTCTATGTCCTCTCCTCTTGAATCTGGGCAGGTTTGTGACTACTGCTGTCAACAGGGTGTGGCAACAGTGGTGCTGGGGAACTTCCAAGGCTGAGTCATAAAAGGCTACACAGCTGCTACCCTGGAGTCCTGAGTCACCATGTAAGAAGGAAATTCAACTCCCCTGAGACCTCCATGCTGTGAGGAAGCCCAAGCTACATGGAGAGGCCATGCAGAGGTGTGTTGGGTGACGGTTCCATCCTTCAGGTTGTCCTAGCCCAGGCACCAGACATCACAGAGCAGAGCACAGTTGTCGCCACTGTGCCCTTTCAGAATAACTGACCCACAGAGCTCATGAGTAGAATAAAGTGGCTGTAGTTTTATGCCACGGTTTTGGGGTGCTTTGTTATGCAGCCCTGGCTAACTAGAACAGGTGAGCTCAGCCAGCCACGTGGCCCCATGAAGCAAATTGTCCTAACCTGGAATTCAGTCCCAGGAACACATCCTCCCCAAATGCTCTCGGCGTTCCTCAGTCCAGCCTGACATGTAACCGGTGCTGTCAGGGCAAGCTCACTGAATAAATGAATAATGTCCAGCCTCCTTCGTAGAGCTGTTCTTGAATCACTCCCCAAATCTGGAAAAGGGTCTCCCTCCTCAGAACTCCCGAGAGCCTTTGCAGCTTGGGTAACTATGGACCCAAAGCTCTGGGGAGTTATCCAGATTCTGTGTGGAATGTTTGCACCCCGTGCCTCAGTTTCCCCACCCACAGAATAGGGCACTGAACTCATAACCTCTGGGGTCCCTCTGGGCTCCCAGGTCTGCCTGAGTGGGGGCAGAGCATGTGTGTCTCCCCCCAAGTCCTTCTATCCACATGATTCCGCCTTTCATGAAGGCAGGAATCATGACTGTAATCTCACCAGTACATGCTTAGCCCCTGGCCCTGGACCTAGCCCAAAGGTGGACACACTGGTGTTTACTGAATGAAAGAATGAGACAATGAATTAATGAATGAAAGAACTCTTCCCATGCTTATTCATTCAGTCAATTAATTTCCCACACACGCAACCAGGATTCCCTTATAGCAGCTCCAGGAGTCTACTCTTGCATGTTTCCCATGACGGGGAACTCACCACCTTTCAAAATAGCCTGTTTCACATTGGGGCAGCTCGGATCAGAGAGCATTACCCTCAGCTGGTCTCCTTCCTGGGCCCCAGGGGAAGAAGGAAGGGGTGTATGGTCAAGGAAGGAGCCCTCGGTACCCATGGTCCTCAGAGCCTGCATCTGATGAGTGCCGGGGCTAGGTGAGGGAACCCCAGAGCTCCAGAACACCCTTGGCTCTCTCTGCCCTGGCCCAGCTGAGGTGCCAGGGTGGGTGGGGCTGAGGGCAGTGAGTGCTGTTCTGCTCAGAGCCCGGCTGGGGCAGGGCCAGCACACCAGGAGGTCTGCGGAGCCTAAGAAAGGAACCGGGCGGAGGGAAGAGCTGGAACGGGACAGGTGGTCTGTGCTGTTTCCATGGCTTCAGTGCTTCTGCCTGCCCAGCCTGGCCTGGGGAAAACAAGCTGGGCACAGAGCACGCGGCCAACGGGACAAAGGCTGGCTGTGAGGCGCCCGTGGCAGCCAACCGGGCCTGGCTGGCAGAACATCGGTTTAGACCAGGCCAGTCGGGGCCGAGCTGCCAGCCCCGCAACCTGCGCCTTGGGCCCCTGGGGAACGAGCTGGGGCTGGGGGCAGCAAGGAGGGCACAGAGCACACACCCTCCCCAACTCTGCCCTGCGGGCGCACAGTTCCCTGGCCGAGGCTCTCGGGAGATTGAGGACAGCAGAAGCTCCTTGGATAAAGGAAGAGGATTTCCTCTCCATCGCCGGGTGTGTGTGTGTCGGGGGAGCCGAGAGACCAGGGCGTCAGCGGTAACATACGAGTGGGCCTCCCGCCCCTCTGTGGGGCACCCCCAAGAATGTGTCTCTGCTGTCTCTGTGGACAGATGCTGTCTCTGGCCCGAGCCAGACAACCCCGAAGTGCTAGAGCGTGGGTGCGAGAAGCGGCCCCCACTCAAGCATGGATGGAGCAGGTGCCCGACTGCCCCTCGGCCAGGGCCACTCAGAGCTGTGCTCCCCCCCGGCCCCCAGCACTCCCCAGGGGACGGGGGCCAAGCCCCAGCAGCCTCAGAGGTGACTTGCTTGAGGACACAGTCTGCGGTGGCTCTGTCCCCTCCCTGAACACTCTTCACACCCTCCTCACGTCTCCTGGGGTCCCTTCCCAAGTAAGCCAGCCTCACAGGATGGGCGCTTCCGGGCCGGTTTCTGGGAAGACCCGGAGAGAGCCAGCGGCTCGCAGCGGGGTCTCTGCCAGAATTTCTGTCACAGGGGCTTTGCCGTCCTGGAGCTCAGAGACTGAGGGGGCGGGTGCCATGTCATCCCAATAACCGTGACCCTGGGGACAGTGGGCAGCCTCACCGAAGAGGGACACTGAGGCCAGGAGGACCCAGAAGGTGTGAACCGAGGATGCTGCGCTGCAGCTACAGGGAAGGGGCCTTGGGGTTTGCGGAGATGGGGAAGGGGCTCAGAGCAAGCCGTCTGCCCAAATCGCAGCTCTCAGGCCTACCGAAGCCCCTTGCTGACCCCTCCTCTGTGCCTGCACCCTCGCCTGCCCTCTCCCCACTTAAGGCTGGGCCACCTGCCTGCCGGGGTCTTAGCTCCACAGCTGAGTAGGGCTGAGTGTGGCAGTGTGGGCTCCCAGGAGGCCCCTCGGGGCAGGCTTCGGGGCGCGGGATGTTAGCTAGTGATGGCCTGGCATCAGCACTGTGGCTGGGAGGGGAAGGATGCGGGCCTGAGCGGAGGCCTGACCCTGCGGGAGCTCTGGAACTAAAGGGGCCACCAGAGCTGGACTGAGTTGGGTGGAAGCGGGCAGTCCTCATACTCTTGCCTGCAAGCATCACCGGATGTGGCCAGCCCAGGGAGGCCATGACATTGGGCTAGGCGGGGCTCTACATCTTGAGGCCAGCCCCGAAGGGGCTAGGGCCCAGGGCTGTGTGCACTGAGGGGAGAATTTCGAGGCATGGGCAGGGGGAGCTCAGAGCACCACAGGCAGGTGCGGCCGTGGGGCCTCTGTCCTGTCCGGCTGCCTCTGGCTGTCCCGCCAGCCTGGCCCTCACCACCCCTTCCCACCGCTCCACCCTCACCCTTACCCATGGACCTGACCTCACAGGCCCCAGGCTCCACTGCCCAGGCCTTTCCAAGCATAGTCCCCGCCCCCGGTCTCCTCCACTCACACCCCTGCTCCTGTGGCCCGCACGGCCTATAGTGCTTGACCGTGCGTCCCACCCGCCTCCGCCTTTGCTACCTAAAACCCTCCCCTGCCCTTTCCCTGAGTCACCCCTTTGCTCTCAGCTGAGGTCTTAGGAGGCCTTCCCTGGCCCACGTTCCCAGCTCCGGATTCTCAGGCTCTTACCGGCTTTGTTGCTGCAGGGACAAAACTTCCATGGGCTCTGGGGCAGGGACATGTCTGTCTCTGTCACGCGGTGTCCCAGGGTCCAGCACGCCTGCAGCGAACACGTGGAAAGGAGGAAGGAAGCAAGGAACTACTGAATGAACACGTGAATGAGTGAATGACATCGGGGTGAGCGTGAACCAGCTGTATCACACTGAAGATGGTGAAGGATTTCCTTTAGAGCCCCATGAGGGGCAAGCCTTGAGCTCAGAGGCCGCGGGACCAGCTCTGAAAATGTCTTTGATCTCTGGGAGGAGGTAAGAGGCCACCCTTCACTCGGGACCAAAAAGCGCTCTGGGGGACTTCCCGGGCGGCTCAGTGGTTAGGACTCCGCACTTTCACTGCCGAGGGCACGGGTTCGATCTCTGGTCGGGGAACTAAGATGCCACAAGCCATGCAGCGCGGCCGAACAAGAAAGAAAAATAAAGGCACTCTGGAACATTCCCAGGAAAGGGTGCTCCGGAACAGGGCAGATCCGTCGGGACCC